AGTACAATTCAGAGTAACAAGGCTGGCCTCATGGACCTTGTGCTTCTCATGGCAGCCTCCTGACCTCAAGGTGAGCATTTATAGCTTCAGTCCTCCACTTGGAAAAAGAGAAGATAATTTGAATGGCAAGGCTTAAATCTGTATCCTCCTTTCCCATTTATCACATCAGTACTAAATAGATCAATCATTCCATAAACAAATTTTAACTTTTTTCTATGGATATCTGGTAGTGAAAGGTTTTAGAATGGAAGAGAGGATGTGACTGGAGCAAATTATGAGTTATATGAAAGCCATTCAGTTGAAAAAGGGGTATGCATGAAGAGATACTAAGTGATAATCAAGTACCTTTTCTAGCATTTGTGGCAGACAATCTCTGAAGGCTCTGAAGCACCTCACTGCACTTAAACAACTTTGAATAAGAAGGTAAACCACATCAAAAAAATAAAGACTACTAAAAATGACACAAGAGGTCCTATTAATTTTTTTTGAAAATTACATGTTACATATTTATGTATCATGTGTGAGTGAGTGAGGCTGAGAGAAAAAATAGATAGCCTTAATCTTGGAACAAATATGCTCTATTTTTTCTTAATATAATATGATTGCTAAATTAGAAAATATTTTCCCCTTTCCTCAGTTATTCCTTGAAGGTTTTTCTAAAATTTTTGCATATGATTAGAAAATCCTCATTGCACTCTAAACAATGGCTGCTTAAAGAGAAATCTGATGAATTAACAGTAATAAACAAAATGAAATATATAAAGGTAGAAGAAACTTAAAAATTATATAAATTCTTAATATAACCAAAACTCAGTTTGCTGATTCTCTTCCAACTTAGTTAGTGCAAAGATAAATATTTAAAAACAAGATAAATTAAGAACATGCTCTCAGTCAGTGTGAAGGAAAAAAAAAAAAGAAAAGAAGAAACCTTGAATATAAACAACTCACCTGAAAAGAAGATATATGTAAGAAGGAGGTAGCTGCTATATTGCATGCCAAAAAGGAGTTTGGCCTATAGCATATATAAAAGCAATATGCACAAAGCCATCTTAGGCTGCTTGCAGAAGAGAGGCAGGGGTGCTGCAGGAAGATACCAGAGAATCCTTATATGGAAAGAAGACAGTGTGGCACAGCATGCAAAGCAGGATGAATTAAATGTGCTGATTAAATGAACAGCTTGCTTCTTTTACTTCACTGAAGTTCAAAGCTTTCTAGCCAACCACTTTAAGCATACCTAGCAATCAAATAAATGACTTATGTTATAAAAGCCTCATGCAGAGAAACAATAGGTAATGCACAATTGATCCCTACAGGCCTCTATTCTCACCTTTGTTGAGGGTTTTAAAAAGAATATATAATATATTCTAATGCAGGTATAAAGGCTAAATGGCTGAGAGAAGAGAGACTGTCCACTACGACAGTATAAAAGGAAACTGAGGACAATGCCCTCTATCTTGATTCTGAAAAATTGTGCAAACAGCTTTTCTCCCAAATTATACCTCAGGTCTGCTGCACACACTCATTCTTTGTGTGCAGATCTTTAGCTAAATGATTAATGGCAAAATAGTCAGTGTTGCTTGCCCTGTCTGCAAACATCAGGACATCTGGGCTCTAATTCTGTATGTAATAGGGTCTTATTGCTTCCTGCAAATTCATGTCAGGGAGTAAGGTGGCACAGGTAGTCCCTCATTATGAGGATCAGAAGGTCTAACACCTTTGATCAGAGAGGTCAAAGAAAAAGTAGATACATCATAACTCTTCATTCTCAAACTAGGACAAGAGGAAGAGAAGTATTTCTGCTTGTAATCTGAAGTATTACTATATAAATCACTGACAGATTTTAACTGTATTGTCCTAACAGGGTTTGGTTGCAATGTGTACTGTGTTGCAATACTTCAAAGTTGATGATATTTTCAGAAAATGGACATCTAGAATTTAAGAGTCATGCTATCCTGAGCTGTGAACTTCAGTTTTGAATTCTGCTAAACTAGCTTGGTTCTTCAAGTATCTCAATGTGGATTTATGAATCTATCTTTGGACTATCAGTTAGAATAGATCCATTTAATCCTCCATTTAATCTTGCCCACAAGCCATGAGAACTGCAAGCTTCTCATTTTCACAGCTTCCTAAGGGTCTTCACCACAGTGTGTGATTTTCAGACATCAAACATCCACATATTTGACCTTGAAATGGTCTTGATAGGATCTGACTCAATCTTTAAGTACAAAGCAAAACAGATGGAAGAAAGATTTTATTCTTTCTCTGAAATCCCAGATAACTGCTACTGGTTGGAATATTTCTGTACAAAACCCCTCACGTTTCTTATATTTAAAGATGCCACCAAACCTCACCTCTGACATGAGTCTGAAGCCTGGACTGAAAACATGTTTCATTATTCTAATAGTAACCTCTACACATTCTTCCAATCTGTCTTTTGTGAAAAAACAGCATTACATTATCCTCCTTTAAATCTCTGCTGATAAATAACCTGTGTAGTCATGTCCCTCTTCAATGAACAGCCAATTAGCATGCTAGGACTGAATTTATCACACTAATTCTTACTGTTTCACTGGCATCCTGTGTTTTTGATGTATGCTTGTGCTCATGCTTCATTCAGACTCTTTTAGGCAGAACATTTTTTTTCTTTTGTACTAATGTGCAGTGATTAATACATCCTACATCAGACTTGAAAATAACAAAGAGAGCTGCAAACACTGATGAAAAGGCCAAGGACTAAGCCAGACCGCAGGTTAGAGCAAAGCACATGGGAATACAATATAATATTGGTTTGTAGCTGTCCTGTTCTTTAGGGGCAAATTGGAGCAAGAGAGGTTACTAGAGCCAGATACAGATGCAGGGGGGAAGAGGGAGGAATGTACTGACGCACATAAAGAACTATAGCTCTTGCTTGCTTCTATTGTGTTCATGGAAACAGGACACTTTATGAGTTCTTGTAAATGAAATAGTTATTACATCTGAACTGGGATTAAGTCTCTGCATTACAGAGAAATAGCTGTGCTAAAGGCTGAATATAAGCTATGTAGGGTGCTTATGTAGGAATCATTAAATACACATACATACACTCTCCAGTTCATAACATTCTAAAGTGTTAGTAAAAAAAATAAAAGCATAATGTAAACTGTTGATATTTAATGTAATTTTAAGATGCTATGTCAAATTCTACAGGGTTAAATAGAATAAGATTTCTTTTCTATACAAACCATGATGGAAACTTTATATGCTGTTGAAATACTCTAAAGAAATTCATAAGGTTCAGTAATTGCTTTCCTATTAGTTATAAACCATTTGGTTGACACAGTTTCTTTGGACTATTAAAATTTTGAACATTTTAAGAGAAGTTCAAGGATTTGGACACATGAAACCCCATTCACCCATCTATTTTTCTGCTGGAGGTTTAGTGTAAGAGACTAAACATAATAGATATTTTCTCAGATATTTTCACCCACAGCAATATATAAACTTAACTGAGGATGAACTGTGGATCTGGGCTATGAGCTGGTTTAGCTGCTGTATTGTCCTGCTGAATTGTGCATAGCATGAATATAAAGGAAGAGCAGCTCAAGATAGGTGATGGAGGGAAAAACATCTCAGGTTATTGCAGATGTTTGTGAAGTACACCCAACAAAATTACTAAAGTACAAGCCTTAAAATGTCATTATCGAATAAAAACTAGATAGGAAACGCAAGACAAAGAGAAAACATATAATTTAGTTTAAAAAAAGCAGCAATGTCTCCAATTTACTGTGAGACAGTAAAAATAATATTGTGAAAAACAACATAAAATGAAAACACATGGAAAATCCCTGATTAGATTGTCAGGATGAAAAATGACTGAGACATTTCTGCATGAGTGAAGGAATCAAAATGAATGGACAGAGTCACGGTTACTAAAATTTAGTGTTTATAAATTTTAAAAAAGCACATTAGAAGGGATAATCTGTACCTACTAACCTTCTCTAATGAAGTCTAAATTAACTACAATCACTTAGGAAAGCCTCAAATGTCATTGCAAGGTGCCTAACAAAAATCAGTGTTCAATACAGTGCAATAGTTAAATAACTAAGCAAGATGCAAACTGCAATGATAACACATCTGAGAATACTAAAAAAAACCTCTTGTCCAAGGTCATTAGCCAATTTCATGGGTTTGTCAGCAGTGTTCTTTTGGGTGTTCCAGTTGTTTTATTTATTTTTTCATTTTTTTAGGAGGGTACCTCATCTTTGATGCAGTTTCTTTCTTTCACATACAAAAAATGTGCTCAAAGCTGAGGTCACAATAAAAATTAAATTGGAGATACTAATTTTTCTCACAGTTCCCAAATGCCATAAACCTAATCTATTCCCAAAAGAAATCCTTACTCAAAGAACTCCTTGAATTTTCTTGGAGGTCAGCTCTTCATATTTGGAGGTGGGGGGAGTGGTTTTTTTGGCCGTTTCTTGGTCTTTTGTCTCTAAATACATAAAACAGACTCCATCTTGCCTAAACTGAGTTATTTAGAGTAAAAGCCCAGTAGTTCCAATACATAAACTTTTTTGCAGAAGCTTGCTCAGAACAGTCCCTCTGGCACAGAAAGGTATAAATAAAATCAGCCTTGAGATAGAAACAAGACTTGAGAAAAAGCACACTGTATGACATGGAAATTGGAATTTTTGTGTCCTGTTAACTCTTAATGTCCTATGTACCTATAACAAATGATTGCTACATTTGCATTTACTTTTGATCAAAGAAATGAATTGATCAGTTTCACTGACAGAAGCATGTCATATTAATTCGCAAAACTGTTCAACTATTTTTAAAGTTTTCAAAATGTACCAAAAAAAATAATTCTGTTGCTTTATGGTGGGATTAATAACTGAGTAGAACGCATCTGCCTGGTACTTGAATGAAAGAATGTTCTGGAGTTTCAGAGCATTCTTAGCTGCAAGTCAGAATTATGTCCAGTTTAGGGCACATGAGTACAAGCCAAAAGTCTTAATTAAGCTAGCTTGTTGTAACTGACAGATGGAAATAGCAACAACAACAAAAAAAGAAATTAAATGTAGCAGATGGAAGCCAAAACCCAAGGATTTTATCCAAAAAAAGAATAAAGACTTAAAAATTTGTAGGCCTCAAAAAAAGTATTTAATTTTTTTCCATACTTCAGCATTTTACATGGCATGAATACTTTTATTCATGCTCAACATGTAATTTTCCCATTAAATATTATACCAATTAATATACAAAAAGTGAGGATGTCTACCTGGGTACATAATTAAGTAAATCAAGGTTTTCTGAAAATATGGATAATAGAGATGTTTTCAACCCCCCCACAGCCAAGTAGTTCTTACAAAAACCCAAAACACTGAAGATACAAGTTTGCAAATAACTGTAGATTAATAGAAAAAGATGTTTAATAGTCTTTGAATCCATGCACAGCAGAAACATGATGTTCTCTGAAGGTGTTGGGAAGGAGAGCTTGAACAACTCATGAGGTTAGTCAGTGCCTTCTTCAGCCATTTTTCACAGGAAACTATAGGCTCAGGGAAACATGACCAAATGCATCCTGCAGGGATTTGTTCAGTGCCAGAACAATTTTACGCTGCTTTACAGCAAAAATCAAATATGTAGTGGGAGAAGGTCCTTTTGATCTAATTGTTGTCTAAGCAGACAAAGTATGTTTTGGGTTTCTTTCAGTTCAGCAACCCTTCCCTATAAAAAATATTTGTAACAATATTGTGCATTTTAAACATATCAGTTTGTATCCTATCTTAATGTGGCATGGCTTCAAGCAACAAGGCTATTCAAGGCAATCCAAAGTGGTCTCTGTTTTTTTCAATACACTGAGTGACTCAATAAAATTAACACATTTGCATATCAATGTCTCTCTACTTATGTCTTACATCACCACAATTACAATACCACTGTGCATGCTGACAATTTTGGTATTTGATTTTTGTATAAAATGAAGGACTTGGTTTTTGTTTGGATAATACAAATTATTCTACTAATTATGCAAAGAATCATGGCATCAAAGAATGGTTTGGGTTAAAAGGGACCTTAAAAATCTTCCAGTTCCAACTGCTCTGCAATGGGCAGGGACAACTTTCACTACATTGTGTTGCTCAAAACCTGACGCAGCACTTCCAGGAATGGGACGTCCGCAGCCTTCCTGAGCAAACTTATTCCAGTGCCTTACCATGTTCATGGTAAAGTTTTTCCACCTAATTTCTAAATTTTCCCTCTTTTATTTTCAATTCATTTCCCCTTGTCTAGTCACTATATGCCCATGTAAAAAGTTGCTCTCTTGTTTTTTAATAAGCCATCTTTATGTACTGGAAGCTGCACCCAGGTCTTGCTGGAGCCTTCTCTTCGATGATCAATAAGCCTAGCTCTCAGCCTGTCCTCATAGGAGAGGATGCTTCAGCCCCTAAATATCTTTGTGGTCCTCCTCTGCGCTGTTCCAACAGGCCCATGGCTTTCTTATGCTGAGAACTCCAGAGGTGGATTCAGCATTCAAAGTGGGGGTCTCACCAAAGCAGAACAGACAGAAAGAATCCCCTTCATTGCCCTGCTGGCCACACCGCTCTGGATGCAGCCCAGGATATAATTGGCTTTCTGGACTGCAAATCCATATTTCTGGGTCATGTTCAGGTTTTCAGCCACACAACCCCAATGTCCTTCTTAGGGCTGCTCTCAATACATTCTTCATTCTCCACTCATGTCTGGGATTGCCCTGACCTGGGTGCAGCAACTTGCACTTGGCCTTGTTGAAGTGTGTCAGGTTCCTGTGGGTCACTTCTCTGGATGGCAACCTGTCCTTCTGTGTCACCTGCACTGTTCAGCTTGTGCCACCTGCAAACTTGTGAGGGTGCACTTGATCCCCTGTCTGAGTCATTGATAAAAATATTAAAGGGTTCTGGCCCCAAGACAGCCCTGAGGGATACTACCCATCACCAGTTGCTACCCAGACATAGGGTTATTGACTTCAACTCTCTGGCTCTGTCCAGCCAGTCATTTTCTTATCCATGAAGTAAGTCACCCTTCAGACCCATATCTCTCCAGTCTGGATCAGGAGGTTGTATGTGACTGTGTCAAAGGATTACAGAAAGCTAGGTAGATGGCATCTGTCAGTCTTCACTTGCTGACCATTGCAGTCACTCCATCATAGAAGGCCCCCAAATATGTCAGGCACAATTTTCCCTTAGTGAAGTGGCATTGGCTCAGATTTCTTTGTTGTTCTTTATATTCCTTAACATTGCTTCCATGAGGCTCTCCTTTATGATCTTCCCAGGGACAGAGTTGAGGCTCACTGCTCTGTAGTTCCCTGGATGTTTCATTCTTCATTTCTAATAATTTTTCCCCTTTTTCCAGTCCCCAGGGGCATCCCTTGAGTGCTGTGACTTTTCAAGTATGATGGAGAGTGGCTTGGAAACAGCATCAACTAGACCATCAAAGTTGCTTCAGAATTCTGGAATGTAAAGCCTGTGTCCTTGTAGTCATTCCGTTTTATCAACTGGAACCGAAGGTGTCTTTCACTTAGAGTGAAAGGGACATCACTCCCCCAGTTCGGAGACTTGTGAGATGTGAGAAGCCTCACTGCCAGTGAATACTGAGGTGAAGAACTCACTGACTCTTAGCCTCTTCCATAAACGTAACCAGTTCTCTTGTTTATCAGAGGGAGTACAGCCTCCTTGGCCTTTCTCTTCTGACCTATGTACTCATAAAATCCCTTCTCGTTATTCTCACATCCTTTGCCAAGTTCTGTTCCAGATGCAGCTCAGCTTTCCTTGTCCCTCCCTACATATATGAGTCGTATCCCTGTTCTCCATCCTGGTCACCTGTCCCTGCTTCCACTGTTTTTTTCCTGTTCTATTCCTATTCCTATTTCTTTCCGATTCCTCACTCTGAGGAGCAGGTTCTTGCTCATCCATGAACTATTTCCTACCTTCCCCACTTGATTTACGGAACAGAAAAATGTATAAATAAAAGAGATCATCTCTAGCAGGAGTAAGAGATTCTGAAATTAATATTTTGATATAACATATGTTGACCTTTTTCTGAATTTTTTTGTTTAAGGTATTTCTCTTTAAGTTATAACATTACTATACAGAGAAACTTGTGAAGGCAAAACTGATAGCAGGATGATGAGAGATGTAGCACCAATGTCAAGTCTGTCATAATAGGTATGTAAAATTCTTCCAGCATTTTGGTCAAATTGTCTTTGTTAAATCACGAAGTTTTGCAGACCTATATTGTATTGCTCAGAAAAGAGATCAATACACACTAGTCCAGGCATTTTTGTCCTGCCCGACCCATCACACATCATTGCATTATGATATCCCTTGGCAAGAGCCTCTGAAACCAATAGGTTTTAACCAAACGTTTAACATTGTGCCAAGAATTTATGTATGAAGTATGACCATTTTCTCTAGTCTCAATCAAAATACATTTTTATCAATGCATTTAGCCCATTAAAATTTTCCGTGAAGATACCTGCTAATAAAAAATATGTCTCTCTAAATTCGATAGATTTGAGGAGCAGACTGATAGATGGATAAGAAATTGGTTGGATGGTCTCATCCAGAGGGTCATGGTCAAGGACTCAGAGATCCAATTGACATCACTGACAAGTGGTGCCCTCAGATGTCTATGCTGGGACCAGAGTTATTTAATATCTTCATCAATGACATAAGACAAAGGGATCAAGTGCCCCCTCAGCAAATTTGCAGATGAATCCAAGCTGAGTGGTGCTGTTGACACATCTGAAGGATGGGATGTCATCCAGAGGGACCTGGACAAGCTCAAGAAGTGGACTCATGTAGTTTAACAAGACCAAGCACAAAGTATTGCATCTGGACTGGGGCAAGCCCCACTATCAGCACAGACTGGGCATGAACAGACCAGAGCAACCCTTGGGAGAAGGACTTGGAGGTGCTGTGGGTGAGAGGCTGCACATGACCCAGCCATGGGCACTCACAGCCCAGAGAGCCAAACGTGTCCTGGGCTGCATCCAGAGCCCCGTGGGCAGCAGGGGAGGGAGGGGATTCTGCCCCTCTGCTCTGCTCTGCTGAGAACCATCTGGAGTACTGCATGCAGCTCTAGGGTCCTCAGCACAGGCATGACATGGAAATGCTGGAGCATATCAAGGGGATGCCGCCAAATTGATGTAGAGGGATGGATTGCCTCTCCTATGCGGAAGGACTGAGAGAGATTGTACAGCCTGAAAAAGAGACAGCTTCACAGCATCCTAATTCTGGTCTTCCAGCATGTGAAAGGAGCTTGCAAAGAAGATGGAGAGGGACTTTTTACAAGGACATGTAATGACAGGACACAGGAGAATGCTTCAACCTGAAAGAAAGAGGGTTTTGATAAGATATTGGAAAGATATTCTTTACTGTAAGGCTGGTGAGGCACCCAGAAAAGTTGTGGGTGTTCCATCCCTGGAAATGGAAGGCCAGCCTGGATGGGGCTTTGAGTTTGGATGGGGCTTTAAACAACTTGATCCGGTAGAATGTGTTCCTGGGCACAGAAGAGGGTGTGAACTAGATGATCTTGAAGGTCCTTCCAACCCAAACCATCCTATTAGTCTAAGATTTAGTATATAGGATCCCTTTACTCTAAAAAATGCATATTGTTTCACAAAATCACAGATGAGGCAATTCTCAGTCACTCAGTCGTTAGTTGGGGAATTAAATACAACACAGAGATGTCATTTGTGTCTCTAAAGACATAGAAATGTTCCTAAGTTAGGTGGTGCATCATGAGGATCCTGGAGTAGCTCAATAAAGTCCCCACTTTGTTTTCCAGAACAGACAAAAAGTAGGACATACCCACACAATAACTACCCTCAAGCTTGGTGATAAACAGAAAGGTGTTTTCCATGGAACAAAGCTATGAGCGGCTTTGGGTGAGAAGAGAGGGAGTATTAAAAAAAAAAAAAAAACAAAACAAAACAAAACAAAAAAAAACAAAATAAAATTTCTATATATGTATTAGAATAAGCAGAAATACATCTGTACTAAAGGATTTATGAAGCCAAGTGTTCAATATATTGTACTTGATATCTCTTGATATCTTATTTATTCTTTAAAATAAAGACTAGTTTGCATGCATGCTACAAGACTAATAACAGGAGAGAAATGCATGTTAAAATAGTAAAGATTTTAATGAATATCCAGGATTTTTACAAACATATTTCAGTCAGCAGAGCATGATTCTCTTAAGGCATTAAGGAACTTGTTGAAGTGCTCTCTAAATTATTAGCTATTACCTTTGAGTACTCCTAGAGTATCTACCCAAGAATTTAAACATAAGAATGAACAGAAATTATATTTAAAAAACCAAAAACCCAAAAACCAAAAACTTAAAAGCAGAAGCTGAGAAGTTACAGGCAAATAAATCATTCCATTTAATGCCTGGAAATAAAGAACACCTGAAGAGTGCTACTAATGTTGCTAACAAAGACTGCCCAGTCCAACTGGGTTGCCTAAATAACTGGGTTGCCAACTGATAGCCTAAATAACCTGGCAAGTACAGGGGATGAAATGCCTGAGATTCCTCTAGATTTCAGTAAGATTCATGTGTGAAAGGAATTTTCTGTATAGCAGCAAAGTAAACATGCACATAAGATTCTGAAAAAAAAAATTAAAAACTTATATTAAATTTTAAATTTAAAACTTGCTCTCAGGTTAGCTAGGAATGCTAGAAAGGCAATCTGAACATAGGGTTTCAATTCCATTTGTTATATTAATGATCTGGATGACAAAATAGGAAACATACTGATTCATTCTGTAGAGGCCATGCTGGACAGTAGTATCTGCAAGAATTTCAGTGAACAGGATCAGAATTCTAAGTGGCTTTGTTAGACTGATGGAGCAATCTGAAATTAATGAGATGGAATTTAATACAAGTGAGTGCAAGGTGCTACCTTCTGGGACAAGAGGCAAAATACATAAATATGAGCTTTGAGATAACTGACAATGTTAGATAGTGTTCCTAAAGAAAAGAAGATTGGGGCAGCAGTGACCAAAAACTGAGTGCAAGTTACAAAGTGACAAAATTAATCTAATGCCTGACAGAATTAAGAGGTATTATAAAGAGCGAGGATTATTCATTCCACTCAGCATTTTCTGGGCTTTTGCTACATTTTAATGCCACAGTTTTGAGACAAATTAGGAAATTATAGAAGACAGAAACAAGATAAAAAAGATAGATTAGAATATTGGGAAAAATAATAAAGTATTGTAATCTTAGATTATAATCTGAATTTAAAAATTATGGTAGTTGAAGTAGCAGTAGAGAATACTCTAAGATATTTTCAAAAACTCCAAGCAGACACAAAAAAAAAAAAAAAATAGCCTCAGATGGATATTTTCATCCTGAATGTCTACAGTTTTTTTATGTGGTGCTGTGAGCAATCCTAAATCCAAAATAAAATATGGCAAGGCTAGAATTCAATACTTTTAACTTCAGCATCTGAAAGCCTAGACAGCCAGTGTAATCCAGGTGTTTTCAGCCCCTCCTCAGTCTAACAAAGTCACGGTTCAATCCTCAGTCAAAGCAAAAACAGCTGTTCAATCCACTGTATAATCACTATAAACCCTCCCAGGTCCTTATTTCTCTTTGATTATCATAGAGACTTGATGACAGACTTGGACTAAAACCTAAATAAAGAGAGATTCAAAGTTAAGGGAAATTGATTCTATTATTAAAAAACCCATCATATTATATTGCTTAATCATCTAAATTTAGACATCTGAAGGCAAATGAATGTTGATTAATATGCAAGACCTACAGAAAGTAAATAGACTTTTAAGAGTTTGGAGATGCTACATATGAGCAGAGAAAAAATAAACTTTGGACTAGAAATATAGAGATCAATGATGGAAATAAAAAACCAAACACATCCAGCAGAGACCTGAGAACTTACCAACAGCAATGTTTACTTGCAAGCAGTAAAACTTCTCTAAAAGAGGAATTTACTGAACATAAAGTGCATATTTCTGTATAAACAAGATAATAAGCAGTTTCTTAAACACAGTGAGTCCTGTGGCCAAAATGTGTAAGGCTATTATACAAGACCTAAAGAGGTCATGGCTGCATGAACAGCTTGCAACTAAATAAAATTGCAAAATAAATAATTTTAAAATAAAAATGCCTATATAGGTTTTTGCATTCCTAATGATATAGGCAGATATGCTTCATGCTGATTGGCAAAAGACATTATACTGAAGAGGCAGAGAAATTTAATTTTTTTATATAATTAACATGAATTAACTTCACTGCTTCTCCTTGAACTATACACCTTGCACTGAAACTCTGTACAGCTTTGATTACAGAGACAAATGCTTCTGAAGGTCACACTCATTAGTTACCCAGAGCAATATCAGGTCTTGATGTTTACTTATGGCAGTGGCTTTCTACTCCTAATTCTGTCAATAGAAAACTAATCATAACTTCCTCCCTGTTTGGTTTAGGTTCAGCGCCCTCAGTGAGACTCTCCAAAACCACACACCACTGTCTCTTGCATCCCTCACCTCCTGCTACCTGCTGCAGTGGGATGGAGTTGGGAACTGGAGACACAAAAGGCAAAGGTTACAGGGTGAGATAAGAGCAATTTACTGGAAATAGAAATGAGATGAGAAAATGAACAACAATACTAATTACAGAGGATATAAGAAAACAAACAAAGTCCCTGGGAAAAAAACCCAACCAACTAATAATAAGAGTACTGGTAGGCTACCTCCATCATATTTTCTTTACCAGAGAGAATCCCTTCTCCCTAGAAGAGACTGCCCCAGCAATATCCTGAACTTATACAGAATAAATTCCATGTCTTAGCTATGCCCCTCCTGGCTACCGCAAAAAGAATAACCTTGTCCTGACTGGAACCAGGACACTCTCAAGCCTTAAGATCATCCTTGGCATTACAAACTAAATGCAAGGCATGGAAGAACAGTATATTCACTCATGCAGTTGTAGAATTGAATTTAGTGAATTGCCTGTTTTCTTCATTTGAGACACTCTGTCACAGGGAGTCTAAGCTTATTTATCTAGGTGATACAATTGGTCACATTTTAGATAACAAATTAAATTTCCAGAAGTTAAACAAAAAGTGTGTATCACACTTCAGGGAAGTGTATTAGCAATAACTGAAGACAGACAGAAATACTTTAATTAATACTAGTATAGGATATGAATAACAGATTAGTAGACCAACAATGTTCTGTATCATTATTAAGTCCTTCATTAAAAATCATCTGTAGAGTTGAAACTATTGATCCTATTGATCAGAGCAAAAGCAGTTTTCTTCTTGCTGCAATTACTATGTGTTGCTTTACTCTGTCAACCATTTAGGAAACTCTAAACTGCCTGTGTGTTCAATACGTAAATAAATAAGGCAAAAGTAAAATAAAGTTGAATATGCTTTCTTTAATGTAGTGGGAATACTCAGAACATCCTCAGTGAAGTATCATGTTCACAGTTTTTTCCAGATAAAAGAAGATATTTTTGCAAGAGGTTTTTTAGTGCCTGACACATCTCCTTTACTCTGTACTCTTCTATGTTCTATTGCCACCTATTTTGTGTTCCAATCCTCTTAGTGTCTCAAAATAAAATGTAACTTTAAACCAAAAAAATCATATTTCTGAACTTTTGCAGAAAATGTTTTAGCATGTGTAGATGCACTTGGAATGCGCAAAGATAATTTGCTAAAATAAGTGTTCTGTCTTTACATGCAGATGTGTGGAGCAGCTACCTAATGTGATAGAGACATGGCAGTTTATGCACTAAATGGCATTAGTGAATATCATTTGCCTCTATTGACACATCTTCGTTACTCTCCACAGAATAGATTAGACTTCCTAGTCTGTGTAGAGAGCAGAGAACAAAGGAGACAATATTGACCTGACGCCCAAGTACCCAGAAATTCATCCAAAGTTAATCTGCCATTCCTGTAAAAGCTGTTTGTTAAGGACTGCTTGGCACCACTTACAAAAGCTCTATAAATGTGCTACTGAGACACCTGCATTAACAGCTTAAATATTAACCAACTCCTATTTACTTTTGTTGTCTCTTTCATCACAGTGGAAACAAAGCAGCATGCAGTGTGCATGTGTGTGTTAAAGTTCAAGCTATACCTCAGAAAATGAGAAAAGCATTCAGCTTCACAAAACAGGTAGAAGCATGGCAGAGATTTGTAGAGGATGGGATTGGTTACCTTGGAAACAGGTTTGAATTCTTTCATCAAACAACAAGATGCTCAGTGTTGACCTATTTCCAGCTGCTGTATAGATTTAAGGTGGAACTATACGTGCAAAGTTTATAGAAAAAGGTCTTCCTATCAACACTGAATCTTTATTTACTGATTAAATGCATTACTTTGTTTCCTCTATATCTCTAAGCCTTTCAAGTGAAAAAATAGTTGAGATCAGAAGAGAAAAAGGGATGTCATCATCTCCTCAACAAGAATTTGTTTCCAATGCATATGAACTATCTGTGAACACTAAAAATATTTTGGTCAATATATTATCTTATTTCAAAAAACTACTTAATTAATATAGGTAAAAAAAATGTTTATGGAAACGGCCACTCCCCATTCCATTACAAAACTTTAAACTACAGATAGAGTTCCTGAGATAAGTGCAGATGTTCCGCTTTATTTTGTCTTCCACCACCTCAGCTCCAAAGGTTTGTGTTATTTTTGTGAGAACAGACATTATGCACAGCATTTTTTCATGAAGCCTAATACAACCAGCAATCAGATCTGTGAAGATCTTGAATGTAGTGCATTAGCAGCAGAGGGGTAACTGTAACTAAATCAATCTGCCTTTCTCATCATAATCTACTAAACTTCAGGATATGGGAAAATGGAAAAAGGATCATTATTGTACAATTGATAAACACACAAATACAGATGAACAGCATGTTAACAGCATCATGTGTTACTAATTTAGGGAACCTCCTAGATAGTCTGGATGTCTAAATAATACAGCACAATGCAGTATCACACAAAGGGACATGACACTGAGTCCCAGAAGCAGTGAGATTGCCTGTCTGGTGCATTTATCAGTTATCTGATCCAGATTATTTTGGGTGTATTTATTCTATGTTCCTTGGCATTACAGAAAGCCCAAGCTTTCCAAGCAAGACAAGGAGCAGAAAGAAAGCAAGGCAAAATAACTCACAAATGAAATTAATATGGAACTTTAGAGTGAAGGAAATAATTGAAAAGTCCATAAAGTTTCTTCATCTCATCATATCTAATGATAACAGAACCTTAAGAGTCATTGTTAAGCTCATTGTATATATCATATTTTCTGAAGTCATACACTTTTTAGTAATTTCCAGGGAGACTAGATAGATTTGTTTGTGGTAGCGTATGTTTCTTGCTAGTAAATATATTAAAGGTTATATTTTTGCACATTCTCTCTAAGAATATCATAAACTTCAGCATTTTCTTCTAAATACTTGCTCTTCAGATTGTGATACTACATGCATTTTTTTAAAAAGGAGATATTTTTGGCTGTCGAGGTATGTGTCTGAAAACATTTCAAATGCAAAAAGAAGGTATTTCTGACCTTTGGAAACAAAACAGAATTGAGTCCTTTGCAAGCCACACAATCCCTTTCATCAAAAAATGTTTCCAGTTTTAAGAGACAACAAAATATTTATTTCACTCTGGTATTTCACACAACCCCACCCCACTCTTCCCTTCAGATCTTACTCAGTTAAAAATAATCTTTTGGAAGTTTGAAGATTCTCAGAGAGAATAATTTTTTTTTTTTTTTTCTGTTTGGCCACAGAATCAGAACTTTCCCAGCCCAGCCATGTATCCAGCTGCTAGTCTAATAGGATATGCTCCCGATATGTGTACAGGGACCCACCTGTCTTTAAAACACTGGGCACGTATCTGGCACAGCACAACCTAAAGTTATTATCAGAGCATTTATTTCTTTGTCCTTTTTCACTGTGTGCTGAGTTCAGACCAGATAATTGTTGACACTCTTACAAAAGGGTCTGAAAATCCATCATAAAAATCATTCATATGGAAAAAGTGTCAGCAATTAGGCTATAATCTCTTTGTAGTTAATAATGTCCCAAAATTCATCTGCTTTTCCTGTTATGTATTGACATATGAGCATAAGTAGTATATTTTAGAACCCTCATTCCCATGTGCTGCTATTAGTCTAATTAAATCTGTCTCACTAAAGATTAACACTTTCTTTCCTAGAACATCTGTCAGTGGTGTATTAATTTTATGTAAAACATTTTGTTTCATGCTTCTGAACCCACTCTTCTCTAGACTTCTTTTTCCCCCATAGCTCAGTACAGATCAGCAACACCAAAAATCATGTTGAAATGTATGAGGGAAAAGTGATAGTGCACAGGCTACACATCAAAAGCAGAGTTACTTAAGCTGAAGAGATGAAACCAAATTATTTCTTCAATTCTAGAAAGTGCAAAATGGAGCTTCACTCCTAATTTTCCAAGTACTCCTTTAACAGTCATACATATTTCAAAATAACAATGAAGCACTCTGGATGCATTCCTTGCATTATTCATATCACACTCTTTAACAACAGTGAGGCATAGCCAAAAAAATGGAACAGTACTGGTGCTGATCTACAAATGACCTAAGTAGCTTGTAGAAGGAATGTGGTCACATCCTTTTGGTTACCTGAAAAGTAACATGCTGGCTGCAGTTTTTCTAGATGCCTTAAAACCCAGTGTCTCTCTCTTTAATGTGTGTAAGACACCAAATGTTTGGATGTGCTTTGCTCAACACACCCTCCAGTATTTGTTGTGTTATTAGCATATAATACATTTGCTAGCTCTTCACTAAGTTACAGACACATGGTTACATTAATAAATGAATATTCACTCTGCTGCCATGAATTATTACACAGAAAAAAGGAAAAAAAATATCTGGAGAAAGAAACAGGCTCAGTTCCACTGTATTGTATCTTTCTTTTTCATCTTCACAGTATTACATGTCAGGAAGTATATATTTTGACTTTTTTTTCTCTGAAAATTACATTTTTCCTTATATTTTTTCTGGAATTCATCTACACCTTCATTTATTATTGAGCCTCATTCCATGGAGGTCTGAAGTTCTGGAGGTGGCATTAAGGATGCTGCCAGTCCAGGAAGCTTTGCCAGTCCTGGCATTGCCCTGGCTGAACAGAAAAACTCTGCCAGCTTCTATATATGACTACTTGCTCTGGCTTAAAATTGTCCCTGGCCTACAGGCTGAGCAGCCCTGCCCTTTTGAGTCATGGTGAGCAAAAGGTGAACAAATATACAAAATATCCACTTCCTGTCAGACATCCATGGGAACACTGGAGTTTGACAAAATGGGGAGTGTCTGGAATGAGAACAGGCAGGGCTGTTGCCCTGATGAAAGCCCACCAGAATGACTTTATTTCTTAATTTTTTTTTTTCTCAAAAGAGTAGTTCTTACTATGTTTTTCCTATCCTTCTTAAGTACCTTTCTCACTCTTCTCACTCTTAACACACATGCTCACCCCACCCTCATTCTTTAGATATTTGGGCCTCTTGTTTTGTAGTCGGGCTTTTTTCTTCTTTATTATATAGCCATTTTCCCAAAAATCAGAGCCCAACCCATCTTCATCTACCAAGTATCCTGATCAACACCTTTATGTGAACAGAAATTAATTAGAAACAAACCACAACAAAATAGTCACCTGATACAACAACAAATATTTAATCTCAATTTTTTCATGACTTTTGATTCTACTCACCCCATCCCCATTTCTCCCCTGCTTTAGATGCTAAATAAAACCAGAGGACATTGCCAGCAGACTTCATTGCTTAGGCTCAGAAGCAAATGACATACTTCATGGTAAGGTATGTACACGTTCTTTACAGAAATTAACAGAATCTCTCATTTTCTTAGTTTCCTGAGGTTTTTTATAAATGCAGAATTCAATTAAAAATAATAAATAATGAAATGGCAATCAAAGAAAATGCTAAAAATGCTGATTGAATGCTAATTATTAAAAAAGTAATACTCCAAGCATTCATATTTTTCAAGCACTCAGTTAAGAAGGTTTGGCTGATTCCATCCTTGATGGCTTTAGTTAAGGCTGAAAAAGTAAAAGCAAAAGATATTTAAGACCTGATTTTTAAGTGTGGAGGACTTCAGCTCTCTCTACACCAGGTTTTTATGTGTATGGAACTGGTCATGACCGTGAAAAATAAAAAATAAAAAAGGAGAGCAACCAATATAATGAATCAATAGTTTTCAATTAAGTCAACCTAGGAAAGTGCAACAATGCCTTCAGCATAAACAAAAAACTCCAAAATCCAATAAAATAAAAAATAAAGGTTATGAAATCCATATAAAATGATTGACTTAATCATGCTGAAAAGTGAATCCAAACATTTTTGTTATTAAGTTCTTCCCTTCCCAGGGTTCTCATGCAGAATGTACAGAGTTTGTTCTTCTGTTGAAATATTACTACATAAGAAAGCAGTTCCACTTTTCTGGGAGTTTTTAGTTAATAGTAATATGAGTAATTCCTAATAAAAAAACTCTTCAATATTGTCAAATATCAAAATAGTTACTTTATCATGGCATTCACATCCTTATGGCTTTTACTGCTAGAATATTATTCTTTTTTTGCAAAATTGAAATCAAGATTTTAGTCCAAGTCAGTCCAAGTCGAAAAGAGATCAGTGTTCACTCTGCTTAACTATTAAAAAGATGAATAAGCATAGAAAATATAGAAACATATTATACACGTATGTACGTCATAAAAGAAGGCAGTCATTTAAATATTCTACAAAACAAGAATCAGTCTGCATTTTAATTCACTTTGAGAGGTCTTGCAGCTTGTAAAGCTTAATTTTTATTCATTTTCTCCAACATCTTTATTAAATAAATCTATAAACTGACTTCAATATATTGTATATTGGTAAGAATGCTGCACACCAGGAGACTTTTACAAAGGCAAAAATCACCTGCAGAAAATGAAGTTGTGACAGGGATCTGTGCAATCTGTGGGTTGCTACAAGAGCATCTTAATCCAACATGTGCATATCATGCAACTTTACACTTCAATATACTACCTCAGTTCTTTCTGTCTGGCTGAGCTGCAAGAGAAAATAGCAAGCTCTCTCTGTGCTTGAGGAATAAGGTAGTCCCAGATGAGGAAGTTTTAGTCTGGAAGCCATAAAAGCAAATTTAAGCATTTCCTGTATAGGACAATGGGCTAGAGTAGACAGTGTCCAGCTGTTCTCACTTAGCACACCTCATGGAAATACAAACTGCACTAAGCTACACACTATTTGACACAAGCCTTTATGTTCATCACCTTTTAGTAACACATGGGATGAACAGTAGTACTTGAAACTGTTCCTTCAGAGCACAGTGAGTTATTATTGCCCAGGCAGAAGAGCTGGCAATGTTCTTACAGCAGGGAGCTGCCCATACAAGTGGGGATAGCTGGGCTTTTCCAAGCCATTCCTGCACTTCTGGGAGAACACAGCTCTCTGTTGTTTGGAGCCGAATGTTCTTTGAAAGTGTCTGCTAGCTGTCAGTGCTCAGGAAACAATTTTGTGGAGAAAGTGTTGTCATTATCAGCTTCTGATTTGTGGTACAAATACACCAGGTCAATATTGAAATACTCTAGTTTGGTCTTTTGTTGCATTGTTTTCAAGATAACCTTTGCAGTTCGAAAACTAAACTTCAGCAATTTATTATTTAAAAAAAAATCAGACTGAAATGCAAAAAATCTCTGTCAGAAATGTTCCAGCAATACATGTGTTCATAAGTGGGTTCTGGAAGGCTCTAAGTGAAAACAGAAACATTTTAAGATTTGTTTAAATGTATTTTACAAATCTACTTCTACTTTATATACTGTTCAGTCTCAGCACTCTTCTTTCTTGCAAAAGCCTTTTTTCTTCCTCCTTAGAGCCTTCCCACAAGATCTTTCACCAGTTAAGTGAGGAGGGAATAAACCCTTTTGTTGGAAGATGCTTCTCAAGAAGAGCTCTGGATTCAGGAGAAAAATTAACAGCAACAAAAAACAGAGGATATGGAAGACAACCAGAAAACAGTGAAAAATTACTTTTGAAGTGATGCAACAGAGACTGAGGGAATTCAGCATGAGGTGATGTATAAATTAAATAAAGATTAATAAAAGATATACCAAATCAAGACAAGCTTCCAGCAACCATTCCTCAGTGATTTTAGTGTGTGAGCCCACTTGCTTCATCCTAGTCAGAGTGGGTGCTCAAACTGCCTCATTCCACAGGTCTCACTCAGCTCCCTCTGATTAATGGCAATTTCTGCTTCCCACAGGTCCTTGTGATATCTCCCACAGATCTGTGGTCCCCACTCCTCTGCAAGTACTGTGGCCCTCAGAAAGAGTTTCTGCCCTTCACCTGCTGCAGAACCTGGCTTGAGGAAAGCTCAGAAGGATGTCTAATTACATTCCAGTTCTTTACAAAACAAAACAAACAAACAAAAAACCCTCAACAAAACAGACAAACAAACAAAAACCACAAAACCCAAAACAAGCAAGCAAAAAACCCACCAAACTACTTTTCAACATAACTCACTCTGGACAAACATCTTTGCTTCCCTTTGGCTGACTTAGAGGACCTATTTATTTTTTCAAATGATTTTTAAAAATTTCCTTTCTGTTCATTGAGGATTTTTCCATCTTCATCAAAAAGGAGACAGGGCCTCAGACTTCCACTTTCTCTGTCTGCCCTCCCTGTTTGCTAAGTAGATCAGCATCACTTTTCGGAGTCTTAAAGAGAATCACAGTTTTGTCACTCTCTTTCACAGTTCCCATCTTCCTCCAGGGATACATCAAATAAAGCTGACAGGACAGCTCTTGTAAGCTCTGAATAGATTTCCTCGTATAACTTTATTGAGAAAGAGACAATAGAACTGGAATTAAAACAAATTCAGCTTAGCTCAAAGCTTGCAGTTTAGATAGTCTCATAAAACAGCTTGTAACATATCCCGAAATTCTTGAAAATATGAGTCCTTCGAGTTGTCTCTTTTGAGAAAGCAAATTCAAGACACCTAATTAACTATTTAAAGTATAAAACCTTAAATTACATGTGAAAAAAAGTTAAGTTTTGGATTTTTAATAGCCCGCTGGATTGGAAGACAGGTTTGCTATGGTAGACACTATAAAAAGCCCTTTAACAACCTCAGATAAACACAGACTTTCCCTTTAGCTATCATAGCCTCACTTTTGTTTATATATCTAAGCCTTGACTGCAGTAACTAACTCAGCAGAGTTTCCATGGAGACTGGAAAGTAATTTTAAACACCCATGCCTTTCAGAATATAAATCTCTATTACCAGATATTGTATGAGTTGCTAGAGGCAACACTTCCTAATCATTCTTAGTTACTCAATATTTTTTGTAATCTGCTCACTCAAATATGCATAGACAACAAAACTCTGAGAAGATCATGATAACTGAAAAAACATTTGTATCTCAGATGAACTACCAATACTGATTTTCCTTGATCTATGAAGGAATCTATTTTCATACTAGGGGTTAATTTAAATCTGCTTAGAATTGTAACTTTAACTTCTATGCAAAGAATTGAACATTCATAATTTAAAAGCTCAGAAAATATTTAATACATCCTTTATAAGGATGTACTAAATACGGAGAGAAGCTAAAATGGCAAATTTCAATTTATGCATCTAAAAACACAATGCAAAACCTATATATATATATATATATATATATAAAAGTTATCTATAAATAATAAGTAAAATATGTATTATTTCTCTCAACTTTACCACAGCTTGCATAAACAATTTTAATCCATGTATTTTTTTTAATTTTTTTTTTTTAAATTACAGGTGCAGGTTTCTTGTCATTGAGTCTTAATGGTGTATTTGCTGATTCTCTCCAAGCAAGAAAAACCAAAAGGACTGATACTAAATATTACATCAAAGGAAGGCTTGTATTGTTGTATTGCCATCCATTCTGCCTGGCTCATATTTTGCTCTCTCCTTTTCTCCCAGAGGCCGTAACACTCAGCTCTGTTATACTGAAAGGACTAATGCTAAATATTACATCAAAGGAAGTTTGTGTTCCCGTCCATCCTGCCTGGCTTATATTTTGTTCTCTCCCCTTCTCCCAGAGGCTGTATCAGTCAGTTCTGCTACTCCCTGGCTTGTAACAAGCAAGCTGTAATACACAGGCTCCTCTCACTGACCAGCAAAAGAAACTGCTAGATTCTTGTTCTTTCTTCAGAATTGTTTTGAAGCAGAATTGACTTCATTTACTTTATTTTTGCTTTCTTCAGCACACTTTGCCTCTGTAATACATATCTAAGTAAGAATTTAATGTGTTCAATTAATATGGATTTGTTACAGAGTTTTTCCCTCCAGGAACAATCGGAAAAAACAGCCACCTCATGATAGATTAGGCGGTGACAGATGCTCATTTTCTCGCTCAGTGTACCTTAAGATTTTTAGCTTTTATAATTTTCAAATCCTGTACTGCATTTGTGTATAACTCTGAACTCCATAGAGAGTTAGCAAGACCTCTTCACATTTTGGACAGACAAAACAATCCTTTTAAGCCTTAGAACCAAGGACACCCTCTTCCTCAGGCCCTGAAAAGTGTAAACAAAAGTGAATCGGGGTGGGGTGGAGAGAACTGGGGGTACATGACTTCATTACCTGAAGCAATAATTGAGGAATTAACTCCTGGTGTGAAAATAGACCAAACTTATATCTGTCTGAAAAACTCATGACCATTGTCCATCTCTGGTGTAGTCCCTTGGGGAGGATTTGTCTGACAATGTACCTGAAGGTCCTTTGATAATATATCTGGTTTTATCTTTTTAACTTTGTTTGACCTCTGTCCCTAGGTAAGCCTGCTCCAGGCATTATCTAAATAGCCTATTTTAAAAAACAAAACTGGGGACATCATGCAGATATAGAAAAACTGAAAATGTCATGCAGATTTGTCTGCCAAACTAAGCCTGAAATCAGTTTTGTCAGTATTATGGTTTTCCAATGGAGCCGTTCTGTATGAATTGCTTTTTAATTGATATAACATTTTCTCTTCTCTTCTCTTGTTAAAAGCTTTTTCAAAGCACTGTAAATAGAGATGTATCATATGCGTAGGAGAAGGCAACTGAAGATAAAAAACATTGATTTACTTTTCTCCTTGGAGTTCTTCATGATGTGAACTTATGGCAGAGCATGTTTGCTATAAGTAGAAGGAAGTTGAAGAGCTTAGGAAAGTCTTCCCTGCTATGAACATTGCGCAGGTACAACTTTTCTCATGTTTTCATGTGGGAATCAATTTTTAGTTTGATTTTTTAAAATCCCAATGGTATCAAGAAAGAAGAAAGAATAAAATCACTACTGTCTTTGGTAGAGTTAAAACTAATCTGCTGTGGAGCAGTATGTGCATTTCCAGACTTTCCTTGCTGTTTCCCAGAGTTATGCATAGACCAATGCTTTCAACTTCCCTCTCCCCAAATTAAATAAAACCATATCCTCAAGTCCGACAAAACTATAGCTGTCAATCTCCTGCTAAAGCAATGATGCAGAGATTAAATGCCTTACACATGCTATCACTGAGCTGCCACTGCTTGACCCCTTGCAATGGTCAGTCCTAAATTTCTAAAGCAACATGTGTGGGGTCTGATCTCAGGAACAACTGCATAGCTTTGCAAGAATAATTTGTATGCAGAACTCAGCACTGCACCATGATATCCAAGTATGGGTGAGGCAATTTAATTTATGTATTGGAAACACTGTTATCCAAGACTTTCCATTGGAATCTCAGTTTGATTGCAGGTTTCTGTGGTGCTGCATTATTTGCAAAAGGCAACTGCAACACATTCAGCCACTAAGGTGGCCCTCAGTTGCTTGGTGGCCAGCACAGAGAAGGATTAAAGCAGACAGTCCCTCCTCTGGTCCCTGTGGGAAGTTTTAACACCTGTTTGTGGCCTTGAAGGTGCAGATTTTATTGCCCGTTCTCACAATATCTAGATAAATTCAGTGCTTTTAATAAACATCCAAAATCTTAGTCCAAATAGCAGGCAGGTTTTTTTGTCCTATTTAAAGAGACTGTAATGCCTCCTGTATTGTGGAAAATAAGAGTGAGCACTGGGTAAAAATAGAAACTTTAATTTGGAATGAAAATATTTTTCCCTTTCTTTTCCTTATTTTATTATGACTTTATATTCATAAATCTACCAGATCAGAAATGTTTATTTGTCTTTAAAATGTTGTCATCTGACACTAAGAGGACAACAAGTTCTTTTAGGGATCCTTGGCAGAATGATGATGATACTAAGCTGTAGTTAAAATTAAAGATTTATTTTCTTAATATTTTCTTAAGAATTTTATGACTATCATAGCACAGCACAACAAATGAGATTAGGGAAAAAAATGACTTAAAAAGAAGGCAGAAAATCATCATTATTAAGAATTCACTATAAATGCCTTGGTTTACTGATCAAGGCTTTCCAATGTCCTGGGAAAGACAACCTAAATCACCTAAATAGCATTTGGATATGCTTTGAAAATAACCACTACCAGCAGGTCACATTGCTGTGTCACATTGCAGTTTGTGTTTCAATACAAGAACATTAATGGCAGTCTTTGACCAGCAGGATCAATTTCAATAAATCTTGTTGTACTCCCCCACATATAGACTGCATCTCACAACTGCCAAAGTTTGACACTTGAAACAGGGCATCTTGAAATCATGTGCAGAGGGGAGGGGAGAGGGGAGCAAAAGTAAGAAAGTTCATAAGGGAGAAGGACTCAGTTGAACTTCATACTGCCTGCAAAGTTGTACACTGCTTTACTACTGACTCACACAGTCTGTTTTTTTTTTTTTGAGATTTTGAACAAAAATCATCCAGGCTGCATGACTGAAACTGCAGTCAATGCTATGAGATATCTCAACCCACAGAAGAAGGTTTATGTAAAATTGAAACCCTAAAGGAACAGCTCCATCAGCAAATTTCAGGCTTTGACTGCCGTAGAGGGATTGTGATATTCGTCTGAAGAGTAACAAATTCAGAATATTAGAGTACTGAGAAAAGTGAATAATCTGCAGCTTCAGATGAGAGTAGAAACTGTTCAGGGACATTACTGAGTCCCTGACTGGACTCGTGTTGTTGGCTGGCAGCAGAGTTTTCATTTGGGAATGCTGAGCAACTGTGTAACTTTGTCAACATACAGTTACAGGGAGATAAGAAGAGTGCATTAGTTACTGTTCAGCCAACAAAAACTACTATTGACACAAGATTGTAAGACTTTTATTACTAACAAAAGTAAACATTGTGAGTTGATTATAATATACCAGGGTTTGTTTCTTTTATTATTGTCAGTGTGTAACTATAAAATGGACAGACTTGCTAAATATTAAACTCAGCATTTAATGTACTTTCTTTAGTATACTTTTATATTTTACCATCCCTAAGTTTGTTTGTCTTTCTGATAAACTCCAGCAGCTCACCACTAGCTTGTCAGAGGTATTTTCCTCTTTAACCTTTTGACAAATAAAAGCATGATTGTAGGAAAAAACAGACAAAATTAAAATCTCATTAAGAGTACCTTAGCATGATCTAATTAATGGATAGAAGTTCAGCCCAGCAGCATTCAGATACTTATCTGATCATCTGGTTTGTTTTATCCACCTCAGTGTAACCCTCAGTGATCATATCTGAAGAAGAGAAGGATGGGGTAGAGATTGGAAGACACTTCCTTTAATGAACAATAGTTCTCTGAATGGCTGAGTATTTGCATTACCTCATCAACTGCACAATAAATCTCCACTGTAAATTTCCAGTCCAACAAAGCAAGGTTATGGGGATAGTTAAGCCAGAACTCTCCTCTTGGCAGATGTAGACAGCAGCAAGGCATAATTTACTAATTTGTCATGTTTTCCCAGATAAAATATTCTGGCCATTTCATATCAGACAGACCTCCACATTTCTATGACTGAGGAAAAGGGTCTTAGGAAAGGAGTGATGCATCCTTCCTTAGCACAGACCAGGTACAACAAGAAGAGATCAATCCCCAGAACTCCAGCCCTTATCTGCAGGGGTGGCAGCTGTAGAGAAAGGTGCAGCTTTTAGAAGTTGCAGCCACACTTACGATGTAGCTGCCAGTCTGCAGCTACAGTCAGACTGGTGCTAACAAGGAGAATGCAATGTGATGGCAATAGCTCATGTCTAGCTATGGCCAACAGCTGCCCTTATCAACAAGCATGTCAGCTGTTAAATATAGATATATATAGATATATAAAAAGTTATTTAAGTCAATTAGGTCCAGTGGAAGTCAAGAGCAGCTTAACCCTGAAGCATGTTGTTGAGACAAGCTCCACTGAGGAGCTGCACTCACCAGTTGGTGACTGAGTAGGACCTGAGTGTGTGATTTCTGTCAGTGACTTACTGACTGTACTGCCTGAGCTCAAATTAGAGGGAAAAGAAAGACATAGTACACCCTGAGGGAACTCTGTCAATATTTACTCCTCTTTCTTATTAAACTTTCCACTGGCAGCATTAGTAGGGTTTGATGCAGCTGACAACAGTTGAATGGACACCCTGATACTGGGTGGCTGCCTATAACCAAAGAAAATGTCACATTTACAGAGAGGGAGGTTCCGAGGAGTGGTGTAAAAACTACAGAAGCCCTTAGTCCCACAACAAAATATATGAAAGGAGAAAGTGTGAGTAAGAGCCAGTAGGACCAATGACCACATACAAAAAATTTCTGTTCTGCAAACATTTTTCTCTCTATGGTTTACGGGCATAAAGACAGCAAAGAATGAAAAGTGCCATGAAAACTTAACATCTGTCTTTCCTGATAACTGTTGTAATGCATGAATTAGTTTTTGAACAGTAAACCCACAGAAGACATTTTCTCATGAGGTTTGTACTTTTAAGTCAGTGGTTTACTATTTTCAAGACACCATTTTGATAAGGATTTGCAGAAATTCCTATTTATAATGTACGTATTTAAATTCAGGGTTTAGTAGGAAGAAAAATATAAGTATCTTTATGAAAGCAAATAGTTCAGGCTAGAGTGATGGTTAATCCTATCAAATGTTATCAAGAAAAGCTTTAGAAAAACAGGTATATGTTTGTCCTTTTTCATGGAGAATTTTCCTAAAGCCATGCATTGGCAATGTCAGTGATAAGAGAGGATAATACTTTATGGCATGTACAAAACTTTGAGTCAGTTGATTTCTTTTCAAAGATCATGAGCTTGAGGAGTCTGCAGCAGGAGAGAAGGGGGCAGTTAAAATGACATCTCAGAAAAAGCAAAGAAGAAAAGGAAAGAAAAATATCTTTTATGGAAGACCCTCTTAATTCTTTAAGAAGATGTGTAACCATTATCTTTCCAACAGGGACATTAAAAAACATCTATCATATTATTTTTCACAAATGCTATTTTTTAAAGGGTAAAGTTTATCAAGGTGTTTCCTAGCATAGTTTCTTGCTTGCTCCCATAGACCTCAGTCAAAAATGCAGGAAAAACTGATTTTATACACCTTGATAGGTATACAAAAGAGATCAATAGCTCAAAGCTTCTTAGACTCCTTCAGCCTTATGTGTTTCCTAAGGAAACACCCCTGAATCTGAGAATTCAGCAATGTGAAATTCTCAATTTTTGAATTCATGCATAAGGGAGCCCTCCATAGCAGTGTCTTCAGCAGTCACCAGATTTGATAAAAATATTGCTGGACAAACATTTGTACTTGGGAGAACATATTCAGGTGCAGAGGAGCATCTTAGAGTGAGTGTAAAAAACTATATACCATGTGCCCTATCCCCATTCATCCTTCACACCTAGAGAAGTTTCACATAGAGGGTTTCAACCTGGAACATAAAACTTCAGCCTTTTAGATCATGTTTTAGATACCTGCTATTTCTGACCTAGGTAAAATATTGCATTATAAACATGCTGAAACATATCAATTCCTTCCAATTAATTTATTAGATGTCTAGAAAAGTATTTATAAAAACAAGTTTAACTTCAACTCAGAGACATTTATTTCCCTGGAATTTTTATAGAACTCAGCTTATTGAGTTGGTACCAGCTGCAAAGAGAGTACAAAGCCTTCACACTCTCCTTTATACCATAACACACCACTGCCATTAAGGACACAATTTATGTTCACTGAAACATTAAGATGAAAAGGGGCATAGCACCTCCAAGTGAAATGTATAGAGAGAAAAGTTTAGAAAATGTAGATGCTACAGGTGCTAGTACAAAAGAGGAATTAATGCAAGCATTGTGACATTACTGCTGAACTAAAAATTACTCATTGGGATGACATCGAGCCACTCTCAACATTGACCTATTTCTCCTTCAAATTTAATTTGAATGAATTTCTAAAGAAAATAGATTCCACTAGGCCACTTTCTTGAAACATGTGGATGCTGTCTTAAGAATTCAGATAAATAGAAGTTTTGGTTATTTGGTTATACCTTTTTTCTATTTTAAAACTCAGGCAAGCAGAAAAATATCCCCTACAACTGATTCCTATTTAAAGCAAATACATCCATTCCCAAAATCTTCATCTTTTGAAGATAACATGACCAAATTGCATCAAGCTATTTCAAGGCACACATCTTGCAGCATTAGCTGCATTTCTTAAAGAAAAAACCTGTTAGTAAAGGCAACTTCAGATCCCGGGGAGAGTTCCATAGAAGAAATGCTGAGTCAAAGCATGTTTGATTTGCTCTTTTTGCTAGCAGACAGATTTTCAGCATAAATCCACTCTCTCTAAATTCTTGGCTACATATTACATATATAGGTGCTAATAGATTTAGATAAAACTATAGATACTGATTTTTTTTAAATATAAAAGGTTAAATTATCTTTTAATATAAAAAACCATCCCAACACACATTTTAAACCAAAGTCCTCTACCCAAACCTAAAAGGTACCTGTAGATTCATTGTCTTGACTGCAGTGCAGTTTCTAGATCAAGTCTTGAAGCTGATGTGATGTGATTTGAACTTGGACTTGACCTGTTGTCCATGTATACAAAAAGGCACTACTGCTTAGAGAGGCACATCTATGACAGAGAAAAGCACTGAAAAGTACTTAAAAGCCCCTTATCTCTCCTCCTGTAACTTTCAGAAATACACAGATACCAGCACATAGCCATACTTGCTTTTCTACAGCATTGGTAATTGCCAGTTTTCTTTAACTTTTCTCACATTCAGAAGTAAGCTGTGCAATTACTATCAAAATTGAAGCCAGGGTTGATCAAAATTAATTATGAGCTGTGAGATTGGAGTAATGAATAAAAGGAAGAACAGCAGAACAGCAACTGGGCTTATGACATTAAAAATACAAATAACAGACAAATATGTCTCATCCTGACAAGTGAGGCACTCAGCATATCTGTCATTCCTTTCATCATGCAGATGACTTCGCAGTAGCTCTCAACACATAATACTGCAATCCCTTCTTTCTAACAAATTTCTGTAAGAGCTGTCAACTCTTTGTAAAACTTCTAGATAAAAATGGTTGAAAAATCATATTTCATAATTAATCTATTTGAGAATCCTGTCGCTTTAAAATATTTTTTTGCTTCATTTTACACTGACTTTTTTTTTTTTAATTAGCATGAAGCCTAGTTACTTTTTACCAGGAGACAAAGAGTGCCAAACATAACAGATCTAGGAGACTGGAAAACAAACAGGTGGGAAAATTAATAATAAGTACTCATATTTATGCTTGCTATAAAAGGAGTCTTTGTGTTAGAGGAAGAGAGATAATGCATGACATGCCATCTGGTTTGCCTGGAGATTGGACAATGAAGTTTTCAGCTCACAGCTGGTCCTAGACAAGGCATTATCAACCCAGCGCTAGAATAGAATCAGCCCACAGACAACGAAAAATAGGACAAAGCAAGAAAGTGCTTCATCTGGCAGGATTCGGAAGCAGTGCCATTGGCAGTCACATCTGCATGTTCATCTGGGAGATTGATATACTCCTTGATCTCCTGTTTTATTAAACTTTTGCACCAGGATCTATGAATTAACACTTTCAGCTACCTCCTGTTAGGTAGGACATTCTGTCTCATCCTGTTGAACAGTGCAGTAGTCACAAATGTGTAATAGCGAGTACTTATACCATGTTTCCAGCTTGTAAAACATGGGTAAAACATCCCTTTGTAATAACTCACAGGTAGCAAAAGTTCCTTCCTCTTGGAGTATCAAACAGAAACTCTACTCAGATACATTAAGTTGTCCAAAGATAGTTACTCAATCTATACTACTTATGCAAGCTTATAGATTCTCTCAAAAATTGGAAGAGTTGCTCATGAGAGCAATTTGGTGTAGAGGCATACAGATAACTTGACGGAGAAGTGTTGGGACACAGTCTGGAGTTGCCCCTTTCCCCTGGAGGACGGAAAATTATTACATCCCTGGTGCTTACATGGGAAATGTTAGGCAACCCAAGATCCCATTTCACTTCAGCAGAGTCAAGCTAAGGTTTTCAGTTATTTTCAGAGTGATACATGACCAATCTCATCTCATACAGACCAAGAAAAACTCCAGATGTTGAAAGGGAAAGTGCTCCATGGGTTCTGTGACAACTTCTGCTACAATAATAAGTAGAAGAGTATGATAGAGAGAAAATTATTTTCTAGGATGGTTTAATGCTGTGTGACTATTTCTGTTAAAAGCAGGCATCACAGCATCATTACTTTTTAAGTATGAAACATACTTCTGGCCTTGTCTGTCCTGAAAGAAGTACACACTAGAACATATCTAAAAATGAATTTTCAAAAGCCAGAGAAATATACTGAACAAATCACACAAACTCTAAACAAAATCTTCATTCAAACACAGCTATCCCATGGGAGCTACATGCAAAAGAGCATGTGGAGAACACATTACAAATATTATTCATATCACTCAGAAAACTGCCAAAAGGGTCTTCAATATTAAAATAACTCATTAAGGGAAAAAAATATGACTGAGGGAAACTCTGGATTTTCTTTTATGTTAGCTTTACTTTAAAAAGCTTTAGATTGTCTGGAGGCTGACTGACTTATGTGTGCTTAAAATGATATCTCCGCTTTCATAGAGACATCCATATGATCACATAACAGTAGGTAATACAAATTCCCCCCATTCTAGGGGTTCTACTATTGTCATAAAGTTCACTCATTTTAACACTTGATTCACAGGATGGATAGAACAATGTATATCCAGCTACAGATAAAAAAACTAAATTCAAAAATGACCCTCAAATATGGTATCTCTTTTTTTTTTCCATAAAGTATGGGAATCTTTCTGGTATCTTAGCTGTCAGTCTCCACATTAGCATGTTTTTGGTTTTAGTAGTATCAATAACGTACATGAACTGAAATTACAGAAATTATATGCAAAACATTTTTAAATATTCATTGTCTTTCCTGACTGAAAAAAACCCCACCACCATATATTCAGATACAGGAATGCTTGAGCATATTGTCATAGCAGGTAAGTGATATCAAACATACTCTCTGAGTATTTATTTAATATAAATTCCATTTTTAACCAGTGTTTACTTACCAATCCTGCACAGCATTGAAAGAGTCTTCATTTGTGATGTCATACATTAAAATGAAGCCCATTGCACCCCGGTAGTAAGCTGTGGTAATTGTTCTGTACCTCTCCTGGCCTGCTGTGTCCTGAAACAATAACAAACAAAATTTTTACATTGCACATAAATTGAAAACATTTTTTTTCTTTTTTTTTCTTTTATAGAAATGAAACAGTTATTGTAAAACCCTGTAATCCTGAAAATAAGTAGAAATAAGGAGAACTCTGTATTGGATCATAACAGGAGGGATGTATCAATTCTGTTATGAAGGGAGAGTGGAGAGCGACAGAAAGGCATGGCCCCCTGTCAACCCATATATTCTGAGTCATTAGTGATTCATTTTATTCACTCTGAGAGTTAGGTAAGAACTTTCTCTTCTGATTCTGCCTTATGCCTTCCTGTGGGACTCAGATTCAGTCAAAGAAAGAAACTGAGAGTTTCTAGACAGGCAGATGCCTGGGAAAGAGCTGGAGAGAATGTAAATAATTCTTTATCTCTCTTGTTTTTCACATTGTTTATAGTTAAATTCTATCACTGTGCGTCAAGCACTTTGCACCAATGGTGTGGCTTGTTTTCGCTTCAGAACCAATGGATTTGGTCCTTACGAAGCTCTGTATAAAAGAGCAGTGTATTTTGAATAAATCAGGGTTTCACTCTCATGCAGCCTTCTGGTCAGTCTCTTCATTCCCGTCCTGCCTCGACAGCGACACCTTCCCAGTGTGACAGAAGTCTGGATAAAATACTGAAACAAAATAGCATCCTTAGGACCTTAATTACGAGAACAGGATGGATCCTGAAACCAGGAAACATCTGGAACAAAAAGACAATGTCTAATTTTTCTGGTTTTGTGATTTTAATCCACAGGTACTCATGTCATCAAACACCAATACAGCTTTCTGTACGCTGTATGGCAGTGCTCTTAAAAAAAAAAAAAAAAAAAAAAAATTTGCTATCAGTCCCTTACCTCAACTCAGTTTTCTCTCTCATCTTAATCAACTGTCTTTAAAGGAAGAAATGTAGAAATATGTCTTATCTCCTATTCCTAACTTTCTTTATTCCCATTAAAAACTTTTCAGGGTAGCAACAAGCTTTTAATAAATTTAATGCAATATCCAGAATAGTGTTTAGTCTAGAGAAAAGAAGGCTGGCAGCAGGTGTCATTAATGATTTTATTAATATAATATAAATATTTCAAGACAGGTGCCAAGAGGATGGTGCCAGACTCTTTTAAGTGGTGCCCACTGACAGGACAAGGAACAATGGCCATAAATTTAGCACAAAAAGTTTCACCTCAGCTTGATGAAGAACTTCTTTACATTGAGGGTGGCACTGGAGCAGGCTGCCCAGGGTGGTTGTGGAGTGTCCCTCTCTTGGGAAACCCAACCCCTACCTGGATGTGTTCCTGTGTCACCTTCACTGGGTGACCCCACATTGACCCAGGGGTTGGACAAGATGATCTCCAGGGGTCTTTCCCAACACTAAGTATTCTCTGATTCTGTAAGACAACCACCTATGTCTGCGCTAAAATTGAGACACAATAGAAATATATGAAATATGGGAAATGTATAACTATTTAATGTTCCAGCCTACCTATTTAATCCTTTAAGCCAATAATATGAATAGCATTACAGGAGACATATTTCAGTGCAATCCTGTAATTAACAGATCATCTGTGCAAATTTAATTTTAACAAACTTTGAAAATTAATATAATTATTTTCAATGTTTTTTCAATAGCTAGAAAATTAAACAGATAAATTCATTTCATTTACCTTCCTACAAAGAAGACTAAGCAGTAACAAACATATTTGGTAGTTTCTAGTCTAGAAGTACTTCCTTGTGAACAAATGAAAAATAGATTAGGCAGGCCTCCATTTCTGCATATATATAATCTTTTTAATAACGTAATAAAAGAAGAAAAGGAGATTCTACATGCAATAGAAAACACTTTTAGATTAAAAAAAAAATATCCAAGGTCATCGCTGAAACTAACATTATGTAGAATATATGATTCCTGTTGGTCCTGGATTACAGTAGCTGCTGCTTTGATGTAGTTTCAGTGATTCAAGATGGAAAGCTAAAGTAGTAGTTAGACTTTAGCAGGTCTCACATCCCTTTTGTGGGAAAGGCCAGGCAGACCTAAACTGTTTCTGTTTATGCTCTGAACTGGCTGAGCCTCTATCAGCTGTGATCTGGAACTTGGATGGGTGCTCCGAGATGTTCTGGTGTTCCTGAATATTAACGTGATAAGATATGCACTAAAGCTGTGAATATTTCATTTATGAAAAAAGCTTTTTTTTCACTTTTTTTGTTTGTTGGGTTGTTGTTTGGCTTTGTGGGGTTTTTTGTTGCTGTTGGTTTCATTTATTTGTTTTTTTCTTAGAAAAAACATCTGGGAGGGACAGAAGCAAAATATAGCCTGCAGCAAGCATTTAACCTGTCCAGGAGGGGATTTTCAAACAAATTTTATTAATGTCTATCTGCTTAGTTTTTAGTTAGAGACATGTTTGATTAGAATATATGACAAGCAGGAGGCCACTGTTACTGAAGACAATTTAGTTTTGCTCTGGGTGGTTTCCACTGAAGCCCACCTGCAAATAAGAGTGAAAAGCCCTATCAATAAAGCCAATGATGCTTTCTGTCACAGACACCAACTATTTTCTGTTTAGTGTGAAGCCATGTAGGGTGGGCTTAGGAACTCTTGATTATAAAATTAAATAATGAAAATAAGAAACAAGTTTAAAGGATGACAAATCAAGACAAAAGTTCTTAAATGATTTTACACAAAGGCAGGAAGCTGCAGATAAAGATCCAAACACTGACTGACTCTGGGACAGAAGATGCTTGTCTGGACCCATGTTTCTCAGTCTGGAAACAAACCAGGTATTTGGACTTGTTCTTAAATTCCAGTTCATAATTCTAAATTCATAGCTAATGCTATGTTAATAGATGATAAAAAAAGATTTTCTAAAGTGATATATACATGGCATAGATGGATGACCATTAATAAAGGGGATTAGATTAGTTCCAAATATAGATAATAACATTCTTCTTTGTATTATTTTATATTCACTTGCTATAAAGAAGAAATTAAAATTTTAATAGGCTTAATGCAAAATTTATGCAGTAAAGTTTTTATGACCATGTAAGAAGTGAACCCAAATATAAATAACCAATGTGTCAAAACTTTTGTGTCCCACACATTCATAAGCATGTTCTTTGTATTCAGACAAGAATTTGTTCATAACTGCCCTAATGATAGGTCCTTTCATATGACCATCAATGAACTTAAATACCATTTGAGGAGAGATAGCACATTAGAAAAATAATAAATTTTAATATTAAATATTATATTTTACTATACTCATTTTGTTTATTTAAAACAGATAATACTATGTACATGGTCTTTCTATTTATTAGCTTTTATTCTTATGGAAGAACTAAGCATAAAATATTTTATTTCATATTTTATTATATTTATAGTTGTACATCACCATGATTGTGTCTTCAGGTACTGTTATATACTTGTACACGAAGAAAACTTTCTCCAATTCAGGTAGGGCTACTGTCTGCTGCTATGTTTTCTTAGTCTATTTGGCAAGACCACAGAATTGATCTGATGGCTGTCTTTTTAGATTTAAATTCTAAAATATAACATCTGTACTTGCACTGACTGATGTTTATTTCTAAACAAATGAAATAAAATAAGCCCAAGAAAGAATAAAATTTGGCCTATTATTGACTGGCGTTTTAAAGAATGCAGTTCACTTTTATCTTTGATGAGCAGAAAACAAGACACATAGATCATGTTGGAGTCTTCTTCATTCATGTAGTTAATGTCTGGTAAGAACAGATGATTGTTTATTAAACAAGTGGAAATGCAGAAGGGAATGAAGGAGAGTGAGGGAATGCTTTATGAAAACTATCACACACAAAAGATAAAAAGAGGTATTTGAAAAATCTTAGATAAAACACACATACAAACACACACACAAATCTCAGCAGCTACAAGACATATTTTCAAATATTACATTCACTTTCATAAATTCAATTTTTAATACAGATACACTATTCCATTTACTTCTGGTTAGCTGATCCTATCTTTGTGAATTTTTTTTAGTAGGCATCAGATTTTAATTAATAAATAACATTATTATAAGGTTTAGTGGTCACAGTACTTTAGAAATTGTCCATTTTCTGAGCATTGTGTACAGCACATTAGCTAATAGCCCACAGTCTTGAGTATTTGTAAGACTCTGATACTTTCACAGATTTCCTTTTCATGTTTTGATGCCTCTAGCATGCTTTGTTTGGCTTCTTTTCTTAACTGATTCTTTTCATGTATAATAGAAATTAGTCATCTGCAAACCTTTTTGTGCTCCCGATCGTGATAAGCATGATTTCATATTAAAAAAATTCATTGTTTTTTGCAAGTGATTCAATAGCTAAAAGGACCAGTAAAGATTTTCTATCAGTAAAGGTCTTGAAGAGGGCGCATACATCTGTAGAGAGGGAAAGAAGAATGGTAGAGGTACAGATTGAATGCAAAATATCTGGTTCTGCCTCTTGATAAAGATAGCAATCTGGTATGCTTTTGGCAAACTCTCCTTTCATTCCTCCTGATCGTATATGTATCAAATGATAGGCAGACAAGTAATTCCATATTACCTTGGCTCTTCATTTGAGTTAAACTTAAAGCTGTGAAATTTGACATACAATAAAAAAATAAGCAAAGATATGTTAGTTGTTTGTACAGTAACCACATGAATCGCTATTTGTGCTGTGTTTCTCTCTTTAATAATGTCATGATTCTGATTGTTACTGTGGAACTGCTATATAATTGGAGGCTTTAGTGTATGGAGAATGCACCAGCTGCTGATAGCAATGCTCCCAGAGGATTGGAGAGATATCCTGTAATAGCCATCTGTGAAAGTAGAAACATTTGAGGACAGGAAGCTGTCTGACTTGAGAGGAAATCATGAGTTTCACATGAAGATTTAGGGGGCTGGAAATTCTCAAAACACAAACCAAGGTTCTGACAGTAATCCTGGAGATACTATTTCATATCTTACTTGCAAAGCACAGTTAT